ATTTGATATTTCCCTGCAAATAGACGATTTTTTAAATTTTTATTTATTTATAAATTTAGGTCAATTGACTACTTGCTAATAAAATACTAAAGAAAATCTCCGATCCCTCAAAAAAAAAATAAAATGGAAGTGTGGTACAAAAATCCTCATCATCAAATCATGTGTTTCTTTAGGCGAATCATTTTTACGCGACTATTTAAAAAAAAATTGCAATTAAAAATGCCAGCGCAAGATAAAAAATTACACCCCAAATTTCTTTTTACATTACTGGAATGAATGAATGCGCTCCCTCAAGAAATTCATAGAAAGACAAGACATTCCACTTAGGACAATAGAATATTATATAATAGTGTTGCTCGCAAGCAAGGAAGTGGACGTCATAAAAAATCCTTCCGAAGCTTTAAAGACTAGACTATAAGCGAATATTTAAGATGAGCTCAACCTTTCTTCCCGAAAGATGGAACTATATTGGCTGAAAATGGTCTTATAGAATCATTTCGTGCACTTTGGAAGCTCAGGATATAAAAATAATTTTCTAAATGTCATCGCAATGCCCAGCGTTCATAAAAGCAAAAGTGTTAAATGGGCTTATACTCACTTCAATAATAACTTGGAAAATATCCTTTTTATAGATGAAGCTGCCATTCAATTATCGTCCTATTCCAAAAGTAGTGTTAAAATCTTCACCTGGAGCGGATTTAATTAAACATATGTTGGGATGTGTTCGGCGCTTATAACAGGACAAAGCATACGAGTAAAGAGGAAACTGCATTTCTTCAGGTCAATATGTCTAATATTATTAACTAGCCGCCGAATATCCCGATATTAATCCTATAGAAAATCTATGGTATATAGTTAAAGGGGCGAAGACAAAAAAATCTTGGGAATTAAGGACTTTTATGGTTGAAGCATGATAAAAATTTATATACACTCAAAGAATGATTTTAAAAATAAAATTGGTCAAATAAGTTATTTTGGTAATGATTTGCTTTATTTTGTGCCAACACTGTATATTCCAAATTGCTCTCGCGATATTCCATATACTAAATTATAATAAAATGATTTTACAGTATGCCAGATATATAAAGGCAGAAGCAACTATTATTTTTTAACTATAAAAGTTTATTATGAATAGTAATAAAAGATTTCTAAATTACATCTGTTTATTATTTTGTCATCGAGAATTAGCTTC